GGCAACTGAAGCGATGAAATTTTGTACATTTCTTTCTTCTTTTTTTTTCTTTTTTTTTACAGTAAGATTCACCCTCTACAAGGCCCGGAGGCCACTCGAGGTAAAGGGTTACGTTAGGAGGCAGTTTCTACTGATAGGAAAGGAAGTTAGAGCTTGCCCTACACTTCAACAGGTTAATATTGTAGCGATCGGGGAAACACCATCTTGGGAGACGGTTCTACAAAGCAAAGCGGAACGCGGGAAGAAGCTGTTCGAGTGGAATTTACTTCTCACCAATGGAATACTGAGGGAATGTGGAAGGTTTCTTAAAACGTAAGTGGCATGGTTTGGTCCTTGCCGTGAAAGTTAGACCTGGCGCAACCAAGGAATGTAGTTCTTCCGAGCACTTTCGTTGAAAGTATCGGAGGAGCAGCGATAGACTCGCCACATCCAGCCTGTGAGAGAAAGAGAGAGAGAGAGAGATTGGAGATTGGAAAACAATTCGTTACCCACAAGCACTCGCGGATGCTTTTGGTCGCTATCATTGCTGGATGGAAAATGCGGTCTGTGCAGCTCCCGTCCAAATATGAGAGCAGTGCTCCATTTAAGGTCTGATCTGGCTCTCGTAAAGTTAGAGGATAGCACGTGGAGTCAGGTACTTACTGGAGCGGTACAGGGAGTCGACCATTTTACCTGCATCCTTAGCAATGGCTCACATATACGAGTTCCATTTGTCAGGTGTGAGCTTCACGAGTCTGGTTTGGTTTGGTTTGTTTTACGGCATATCAACCTCAATGGGTCATTTAATGCTGACAACTTTTTTTTCCTGGTAATATTTTTGTTTTGTCAATTGGTGGAAGATGAAAGCGGAAATTTGAAATAATGATGTTCATGATATGTTTGCCTAGCCTTTCCGCAATCGTATATGAGAAGACTTATTTCCCTCTATAGCAACCACTTTCCAACAGGCGCAATATTGTAAGCCGGTCGCTAATTTATTACTATTTCCATAGCAAATATTTAGATGAACCCTGTTCTTGAATTACACCTGTTCAGACCTTTACAGCTACGACACGCCGTCCTACTTCTACGGAGTCGAATCATCCTCATTTCCCCAGAGTTTAAAATGTAAAAAGAAATTTTGACTCTGGCATCTTTTTTCTCCAGAGCTGCTACTTTGTGGAACAGGCTTCCGCGTGGATAATCCCTAAACGCTTCAATTCTAAATCTCTTCGAGTCAAGCGGTAATCGTTATCTATATTCCATATAATCATAATCCTCTTTTTCTGCCATATTCATAACTCACACCTGGTTCATCATTAGTATTTCGAGTGTAGTCTCCAAACTTGGATGACTCTCGAGCCTTGTGTTAGTTAAAATGTAGTGCAAAAAAGTTAGTTCTTTGTTTTGTTTTCCGGCATATCAACCTCAATGGGTCATTTAATGCCGACAACTTTATTTTTTCCTGGTAATATTTTTGTTTTGTCAAAAATCTTTTTCTGTTAATATTTTTTTCTCAAAAACTTATAGCTGGTAATATTATTTTTTTCAAAAACGTATAACTAGCAATATTATTTTTCCAAAAACGTATAGTTGGTAATATTTTTTTCAAAAACGTATAGTTGGTAATATTTTTTTTTTTTTTCAAAAACGTATTATCAGCGGACTAGTTGTCGGACGTAGTTTATCGTCTTACCCAGGACGCGGATGTAGTTTATCGTTTTACCTAGGACGCGAATGTAATCTGAATGTTAACTATTTGCCCATAGCTGTTACCCTAACAGGTGCTACCACACCGGACAGGGTAGACCTGAGAACATCACCAATTAAGAGGTGGTTCCACGCTCCTCAAAACCTCCTGATCAGAGGCCTTGCTATTGGACGTAATTTATCGTCTTACCCAGGACGCGGATGTAGTTTATCGTCTTACCCAGGACGCGGATGTAGTTTATCGTCATACCCAGGACGGTTGACGAGTCTGGTGTGAGTTTGAGACCCAGTAGCCTTTAAAGGTACGGTGCCTCTCTGAGGGGGCGGGGAATCTGTTCATCGTGACTGGCGTTATTTCGGCGGCCGATCGACGACAGTGGAATGTAACTAGTTTCGTTTTCTCTATCTCTTTGAAAGTGTCTGGGTGTACCTATAATGCAGCGCTACTTAAATATTTTCATTCATGACCCCATTTTCCATAGCGAGATTTTTCGCGACCCAAGGTATTAAATATGAAATAAAACATACAAATAAATACATAAATCATTTATTTTTTGCTGAACAATATACATATAAAAAGTATATTGTTTGTCAAAATAAAAGTAGTTTTAGGATTTGCTTCAAGTACAAAAATAAACAAAAGTAAATGTTTCAAGTACAAAATTGAGCCCAAGTAAATGTTTCAAGAGGGATACCAAATTTTTTCAAGTATAACAATGAACCAAAGTAAATGTTCAAGTACAAAATAAGGTAAAGTAAATGTTTCAAGTACAAAATAAGGCAAAGTAAATGTTTCAAGTACAAAATAAGGTAAAGCAAATGTTTCAAGTACAAAATAAGGCAAAGTAAATATTTCAAGTACAAAATAAGGCAAAGTAAATATTTCAAGTACAAAAATGAACCAAAGTAAATTTTTCAAGTACAAAAATATACCAAAATAAAAAAAAATAAATCAAATTAAAAATCACTGCAACAGATGTGCTTGTTTTTAACTGCGTAATAAATTAGTGTGATATTTGACACTGCTGGACGTAAAGGAACTACTTTTTTTAAATAAATACCGACCTCAATCGAATAAAAAAGCAACGTATATTGTTATTTTACACTTATTAAGATGAACACAATCAACCAATTCCACTCAAATGGAAACATTCGTTGTCACTGCACTCGTTGCAACGGAATCGCTCGCGCATTTTATTACGACAACGTTTGCGTGGCGCATCACGTTAAGTATGGGGTATTTGTGAAATAACATATAAACTGAAATTCAATGGTTTTAATTTAATTTTCGCGGCCCCAGCATTTCGCTTCACGATCCCATTTTGGGGCCGCGATCCATTGTTTAAGAAACGCTGCTCTATCGTAATTCGACTTGCTGAATTTAAGCTCAGTACGATGTCTCATCATTTTACTATTAGAATTGCTAGATATAGCCCTATGTTCTATGCTAATAATTTGTTTTCTTGCACTTCTGACTTGTTTTCTTGCATTTCTCACTTGCGAAACTCGCTTCTTGATTGTGAAATTTTTTTGCATTGAACGTCAATTCAAGCCAGACCTCATGTGGAATTCCTCTATTCCAGAGCTTCTTAAACTTTTATGACCCCATTTTTCATCACGAGATTTTTGACGACCCCAAGTATTGACTAACTACACTAGTGCAGTCACTACATCCGTTGTGACTGCACTCGTCGCAACGGCACCGAAGGCACGTTTTATTACCGGGTGGCTTGGGTGGCGCATCACCTTAAATATTGGGCGTTTGTGAAATAACATAGAAACTGAATATCAAGGGATTGAATTTAATTTTTAGTGATCCCGGCATTTCGCTTCGCGACTCCAAATGAGGTTTAAGAAGCACTGCTCTACTGTGATCACCTCTGACTGCATATCTGGTTGATGAAATCATTTTATATTTTCCACTGGTGCCAGTGGTTAATTTTCGAGCAGAGATAAAATAATTAAATGAATTTCGAATATTAATTTTTCTAGATAGTCACACTTTCTCCACAGCAGACATTGGCATATCACTCTCCCTGTCTCCTTTTCATTGTACTATGACTGTAAATACTGGACCATTTTCTCACAGATGAAGAGGCTTGAAGCAACATAAATGCCGACTACAGAAGGATACTGAGAATACCGTGAACATGTGAGTAACAAGGAATTTTTAAGGAAAACTGAAACAAAAATGTCGGGTATAATTAGAATAAAATAAAACACCGTTCAAATTTGCAGAAGACATAATAAGGAAAGAGTGCTTGGAGAATTTGATACTCACAGGACATAATGAAGGCAAGAGGAACAGTGGGAAAGGACAAGTAACCTAACGAGTTTGTGTAAATGAAGTGGAGAAAATGGGAGGAATTGTAAGGGGGCTAGAAAGAAGAGGAAGTTGGAGAGAGCTGTGATCGCCCACATCGTGAAAGAGCACGGAATATAAGAGAAGTTTCATAACAATCCAGTATGTGTATGCGTGTGAGTTTATGTGTGTGTTCTTGAATGTGCGTTTACGCGTATGTTTACACACGTGTCTGTGGTTTGCCTCTATGTGCGTCAGTTCGTATGAACGGGAATTCGGTAAACGTTTATTCGTCTGCAGTATGATTCTTAACGCATGGCTCGTGTAACGGTCATCGACTCGTAATCGTAGAGCGGGGTTCAAGTTTCGTTCTAGTCTATTGCGTCCCCTTCGCATCAACGGCAATGGTAATATTAGATAGATAGATAGATAGATAGATAGATAGATAGATAGATAGGTTGGAATCAAATATAGATCAAATATGGATCGGAATCCGACAGAATGATAACATAAAGAGCAAATAGGAAACGTTTATCAATCTAGCATGTTTCACTTTTATTAAAGCTTCATCAGACAATGAGATGTGGAAAAAGAAAGAAGAAAGAAATCCTAGTATTTTTATTTGTGTGTTGTTTGTTTTTCATTGGTCAACTATGTTTCGTATGCATTCGACTCTTTAAACCAACTTTTGTATAATTTGTGGCGTTCCGAATTCAGGAAGAAACGAAGCGTTCATCCGAAGTTTCAAGAAATTAACGAATTCCAAGTATCCTTGAAAAACCGTAAATATTGCTATATGTATGTAAGTATATAAAAATTCTACTTTGTCAATGTGGGAATCAGATGATAATATATAATCGTAACTGTGTCTGTGTGTGTAGTAAGCATTTTTCTTTTGTTTTTCGCCTGTTGATTTCAGAACGTTTTTACGAATACCGTTTGTTTTAGATAAACATACGTTAGATTCTTTAAGAATGGATTCAGTAAAGGTTGATAGGTATGAACAGACTACGATAAATAGATAGATAGATAGATAGATAGATAGATAGATAGATAGATAGGTAACAAGTAGGAAAATCATTACTGTTTAATCCAGTATTTATTCCTTATTTAATTAGACTGTTGGATTTAAAGTACTTTGTCATTCATTTTTAATGTAAATAAGTATTATATATGGTTTTGCACACACACACACACACACATATGTGTGTGTGTGTGTGTGTGTGTGTGTGTGTGTGTGTGCGTGCGTATATATATATATATATATATATATATATATATATATATATAAAGTCAAGATGCCTAGACAGGATCGATTCTATTACAATTCATTTTTTGAATTTTGTCAAGGAATATATATATATATATATATATATATATTGTAGAAATTTTATGAGAAAGTGGAACAAGTTTACTTGTGCCACGTTTCGTTCTCCAGGACTTCATCAGACTAAATTTCTTATTTTGGTATGACTACACCTATCCGCAATCGAGAATGCTGGGAATTTTAGCATTTTTTTTTTAAATCTAGCCGAATTTATTAATTTATTTATTTATTTAGAGCCTTTTTCTTTTTCTTTCTATCACTTGTGTTAGTAGGTATCCTACACTGCAATAAAAGAAGATCTGCTACATATGGTAAATGTTGTAAGACCTAGGGGACAAATTTACTATAGTCATCAAAACATTCTTTAGACATATCGTAGTTAATAATTTTCCCCTTTGCTCAGTGTTGCAATTTTTATATCAAATTTGTGGTCAGTCTCGTTACGGTGGGCAACCAACGCATTTCATGTATTATTTTGTAAAATGTCCCTTTTGTGTTCATATAATATTTTATTTAGATTCCTTGGGGTTTCTCCTATGTACTTTTGTGACAATTATTACAGGCGATTAAGTAAATTCCTACTTCAGGTTTTAGCTTATTGTTTTGTTTAGTATTGACTAAGTTTTTAATTGTTTTCGGATGTAGTAGTAACAAATTTTATTTTGAGTTTAGATTCTTTTCAATTGTACATGTGATAGAGTTAGTAGGATAATATTTTTTCCTCTACTGGCGCTCTGGATTAAATAGCACGGCAGAATAAATGTGGATGTCAGCCATTATGGGTGAATGACAATTTTCTATTCATACCCGAAATGACGAACGCAAAAAGAGACCACCCGAGATGTGGTAATTCACAAACAATATAGAAAAAGAATTTGGAAAAAGCCCTGATTTCAGGCCTTTTTAAAAAAAACATGTAATGTAAGAAAGAAATGTAGAATTCTGCTACATGAAAAATCAGTTAAAAAGTGACCTAAATTTTATATTATGTTTACTTGGTTATGCAGAATCGCGGAAAGATTGTAACTAAAGAATTTTAGCGCAGTGAAAGGGTCAAGGACTGAATTTCTTATGGTAGGGACTAAAAAGCAAAAAAAAAACAAAAAAAACGTCACAATCTAAAAAAGATTATGTCGTATCGTGTAGCGCCAGTCTTTTCGTTTATGCAGTCTATTTGCAATATTTAAATATTAATTGTTGACTGCGTGAGAAAGTTCTTACCGAAGCTTGCACCATGACGCACTTTATTTAAAAACCTGGATGCACATCTGGATACTGATGATGACCGCGCGTTATTATACTTTCGGAATGTTGTGCACCAACTAAATGCGAATATCAGTGTGTCACTGTGTCACACTTTTTCATCATTACTCCCAGAGTCTGTAACGCAACATATCATACCATTTTGGAATCACACCGACTCCATGTAAAAAACATTCTGTAGCCGGATTTGGACCCACAATCTTGGAATTTTGGATTCCCAAGTTTTCATTACTGCGATTGTTTACGGTGATTTTTTGCGACAAATTTTTTGTACGATAACAATTTTTATAAATTAGAAATAAATTTGGGAATAATTGAAATTAATTGCGAAATCCAGCGAAAGTCACCGATGAAATAAAAACAATTTTTTGTACGATAACAATTTTTATAACTTGGAAATAAATTTGGGAATAATCGAAATTAATTGCGAAATCCGGCGAAAGTTACTCATGAAATAAAAAAAAATCATTGTTTGTACTGAAAGTAAGGACCTACCTGCATCAAATTGTCTTTAAAATAAATGTCGCGATGTTATTGACCTAAGGAGATGTCACGATGATATTGACCTAAGAAGTTCTATTTGTTTAATTTCTGGGTCGATGACACGTGTTTATTCCGGGTAGAATAGCTGCGTTTTTTTCTTTCCTGTAATGTAGAAGACGTCAGAAGAATTATCGTAGAACTTTTAAAAAGTAAGCTTATATAATAATGCAATACTTAAAAGTAGCGATACATTCTGAGTTCTTTTGTAGTTGCCTACCTCATCTACCTCTCCCTACCTATTGTGATGAAGGCCCAATCAAGATTCCTCCGTTAGCGGCTTTTAAGCTAGTATATAAATATTGTTCAAAGGTTGTTTTTTTAATAAAAAGAGCCACTCAAGGTAGACGTTTACTGAGAGAGGTTGCTGTATGATTCAAAAAGGTGGGGTAAAGATTGCAGTTTATGAGGATATATGATAACGGTTATCCATAGGCTTGAAGATTCTCCTGATCGACCAGCTTCACATTGAAACATGAGGTTAGGTTTGACTTAGTGAATTAATATAGGAGATGCTGAACCTGTGATTTACTTTTGTTTTTATGGGTCTGGTTTATATCTTCTGTTTCATTTTGCTGTGGACATGGTTAGATATATTGAGATATTGGAATTGATAAAGATGAGACAACGAAAAAGCCACACCCACAAGTAGTACGTGTGTCAATTAACTGGATTGAATTGCCCGAAAATACAGTTGTAAGATTATTATGGCACCGAAAACTATTGCACAGTAGATGTCCCATTCACAAAATGTCAATACAACAGCTTTGATATTATGCATCATCTGACGAGCTAGCCTCCTTATGCGTCACACTGAGATTCGGTTCCCTGTCTATCGAACGGATATCGCCAACCCAGAAAGAGTTTAACTCCAGCACCCTTATTAAAGATACAAACAGTACAGGAAAGCAGAAAACGCAGCTATTCTACCCGGAGTAAATACGTGTCATCGACCCAGAAATCAAAGAAATAGCATTTCTTAGGTCAATTTCATCGTGACTTCTCCTTAGGTCAATATCGTCGGGACTTCTCCTTAGGTCAATCTCATCATGACTTCTCCTTAGGTCAATATCGTCGGGACTTCTCCTTAGGTCAATCTCATCATGACTTCTTCTTAGGTCAATAGCGTCGGGACTTCTCCTTTGGTCAATATCATCATGACTTCTCCTTAGGTCAATATCGTCGGGACTTCTTAAGTCAATCTAATCGGGACTTCTCCTTAGGTCAATCTCATCGTAATAAGCTGATACACTAGGTACCGAGGCAGGCTCACTCGCTTGTGAGGACTAAAAGAACCACTGAGAGGCAGTTATAATGTCGACTCAAGGAGGAAAAAATATCCCCTACCCTTCATTATAGAGGAAGAATTCTCAATATTGGAGAGAGGGTGTTTCTACTTATAGACAGTGTGGACATAGATATCGATGTGAGACTGCAATGTTGAAAATCTTAAACATTGAATCGGGAAACATGCAGTGTAGATTCCCATGTTCACTGTCGCTTTCCCTTCTCTCTCTCTCTCTCGCACTCTCTCTCTCTCTCTCTCACCCCCTATATATATATATATATATATATATATATATATATATATATATATAATACTTTCATATGGATATTAAGCATGGAGATAAACTCATTCAGAAATATCTAAACTGCCAGCTATATGCGACCACTTTCTCAGATTAATCATTAAAATGGTTTCAAGCAAAGAAAAGCTGTAGGTCTTAGCGAGAACCATCTTTCTTTGAACCTCATGGATTGCGATGCCATCTGTCAATCTATTTCTTTCTCTGTCTCTCTGTCTCTGTCTCTGTCTCTGTCTCTCTCTCTCTCTCTCTATCTATCTATTTATCAGTTTGTTCATGTCTATTACAGTATGTCCCTATCTATCTATCTATCTATCTATCTATCTATCTATCAGTTTGTTCATGTCTATTACAGTATGTTCCTATCTATCTATCTATCTATCTATCTATCTATCTATCTATCTATCTATCTATCAGTTTGTTCATGTCTATTACAGTATGTTCCTATCTATCTATCTATCTATCTATCTATCTATCTATCTATCTATCTATCTATCAGTTTGTTTCTATTACAGTATGTTTCTATCATCTATCAGTGTGTTCCCATCTATCTATTACAGTGTGTTCCCATCTATCTGTTCCCATCTATCTGTCTGTCTACATATATCTATATATATATATATATATATATATATATATATATATATATATATATATATATATAGAGAGAGAGAGAGAAATTAAATCATTATTATCATTATTATGCGCCAGACGGACGCACCACACAAGTACGCACGAATCACTGATATTTAGTATTATATATATATATATATATATATATATATATATATTCTACCTCTGTGATTGCGTGCGTGCGTTTTTATATTTCAACTTTCTTTATAAACAAACAATATTTTAAATATTTAAAAAAAAAAACATTTTTGCCATATTTAAAAAATATTTTCAAGTGAATATGATTTTAAAATATTTTTTGCATATTAAAAAATATTTTTAAGTTAATCTGATTTTAAAAATATTTTAAGTAGGTACTTCCACGACATAGCTAAAGAAACAGCACACCGTGATGAAAACATGCTCTAAATGTAATGGAAACAGTTTTATCGTCAAAATCGTTCTATTATTATTAAGAGGAAGGATCAAAGTATTTTTTGATTATTTAATCAATTTTTTTACTCCTTTATAGAACATTCGAACTTTTGATTAAAAAAAACTTGTTTTTCTTGTGTCAGCGGTTGTACCAACTTTTAGCTTAGTAAATTTTCGCCTCTTTTTTTTGTTGTGACAGACACATTAATTTGGAAATTCCTATAAAAATAAAGTCGTTGTCTGATTTTAATTAAATTTTCAGGACCAAACGAATGAAATTATTTTTGAAATTTTGTTTTTATTAGAAAATCTTGGAAA